AAAGATAAACACTCTAGTAAAAGGTACATTTACAAATTGAGAAAACAAAGGAAAACTAACACGCCTTACCTGGCTATTTACTTACAAGTTTGAAATAGGAGAGACTTGTTTAGAAAGATGTGGAGAACCTGGATTGATGTATGGTCCCTCTCAGTCCGGAGAGCGAACGCCCTCCCAAACAAAGAACACAAACAAAAGCCTCCCCCCCCAAGATTTGAAAGTATTTTGTCCCCTTATTGGTCCTTTGGTCAGATGCCAGCCAGGTTACCTGAGTCTCACAGGAATAAAGGACGCTGGCCTAGGCAGCAACAAAGGATCTGTTGGACTCCTGGGTGAGTCAGCCCCCTCTCTTTGGTCAGTTTGGGACTGCAATGAGGTAATACTAACCTGACTCTGAAGGGAGGGCAGTAAAGCCAAGAGGGAAGAAAGAACATGGGGAGAGAAGTTTTCCATACTCTTCCTCTCTCTTCTACCTCCATCTACAGCCATCACCATCATGCACCTGAAGCACTGTGATGCATCTAAGTTTGTAAGGGCACTGAAAGTGTTAAGATCTGCTTAGAATGCTTTTGCTTTTATTTCATTTGACCAAATCCGACTTGTTGTGCTTTGATTTATAATCACTTAAAATCTATCTTTGTAGTTAATTAATCTGTTTGTTTAGTCTACCTGAAACAGTGTGTTTGGTTTGAAGCATGTCAGAGACTCCCCTTGGGATAATTATCCTGGTACATATCAATTTATTTGTTAAACTGACAAACTCTTATAAGCTTGCAGCATCCAGCGGGCATAACTGGACACTGCAAGACGGAGGTTCCTAGGGTTGTGTCTGGGACCGGAGATAATGGCTAGTGTCATTCGGTTGCACAATCCAAGCAGCAGCTTACATGCCAGAGGCTGTGTGTAAACAGCCCCGGAGTGGGGGTTCTCACAGCAGAGCAGGGTAAGGTTGGCTCCCAGAGTCAAGGATTGGAGTGACCAAGCAGACCACCAGTACAGATAACACCAGAGGGGAATGTCACAATGGCATCTCCTCCTCTGGACCCTTGACCTCCCTTTGCCAGTCTCCCCATGACAGAGAGTCCCAGCATGGTCAGTGCTGTACTGCAGCTTCTCTCCAGCACTGTAGCCCTATCCGTCCCCATCCCCCCTTCCTGTAATCCTGATATTGGTGCCCTGCAACCCTCCCCACCTCCTCCCCATCCCTGCCCCTCCTGGCCCCATTCCCAGTCCTGGCTCTCATTCTCCTTCCATGCCATGGGCCTTCCAACCATCACGTAATCCTGTCTCCCACCCGCCCAGAGCCCTGAGGTGCATATGGGGGGGTGTCTCACACTGTGCTGTGTGTCTGAGGTTGCATGGACTGCAGAGCTGCCTAGGGGGCCTGTTGCTTGAGCCCCTCACACACCCCTCCTGGCTCACTTGTGTCTTTGAGCCAGTTCACTCCTGAGCCCCTGAGTCAGGCACTGAACCCTTCTGAAAATGATATTTGGGTGCCCCCCCAAACCATGCCCTACTCCCCTGGGCTGCTCAGTTGCAGAGGGAACCCCCAGCTTGGAAACCCTGTGTGCCCATCTGTCCCTGGAGCCCCTGCACACCCACGGCAGCACTTTGTGAGAACTGGCAACAGGGAAGTTCCCCCCGCCCCAGGTCCCCTGGAAGCCTGTGTGGCACAGAACCAGAGATGTGGTGATTCCATGTGTCATGAGGGCTGACAAATCGCTCCATGCTGAGCAGTTGTGACTGGATACTGTAGCCCACAGAGCTAGCTTTAGCATTTATTTATTTATTTTATTCCACAGTAATGCAAGAAACCTATAGACCTTATCCTATAAAACGCAGGCTTCAGCAGTTACCATAAGGCTTGAGGTCTTTGAACTTAACAGTGATTGTTAGGCCATTTACCTGTACCAAAATTTTGGGGCATTAAAAATAGTGTGTGTAGGGGGGAATTTTTCCATAATGTCACCAGCCAACCACTGGAATATGAGCTAACACCAGCTTTGAGTAGAACATCCACAGATGTTTGACCACAAGAGTTCCATGGCAACAAATTGACAAGAGATTGAGATCATTAATTTACTAACCTCTAGGACAGGGGTAGGCAACCTTTCAGAAGTGGTGTGTGCCGAGTCTTCATTTATTCACTCTAATTTAAGGTTTTGCATGCTGGTAATAAATTTTAACGTTTTTAGAAGGTCTCTTTCTATAAGTCTATATTATATAACTAAACTATTGTATGTAAAGTAAACAAGGTTTTCAAAATGTTTAAGAAGCGTCATTTAAAATTAAATTAAAATGCTGATCTTACGCCACCAGCCTGCTCAGCTCACTGCCAGCCTGGGGTTCTGTTCACCTAGGCCAGCTGAGCAGGCTGAGCAGGGCCTATGGCCGGGACCCCAGAGCTGGGGAGGGTGTTTCAGGGGTCAGGACAGAGAGCTGGGGGAGGGGGTTCAGGGAAGAAGGCTGGGGTGTGTGTGCGGGGGTTCAGGGATCAGGGCAGAGGGCTGGGGTGTGGGTGGGTGTAGGGCAGAAGGCTGGGTGTGTGGGGGGGTACAAGGGTCAGGGCGGTGGGGTGGGGTGTGGGGGGGGTGCAGGGCAGAAAGCTGGGTGTGTGGGGGGGTACAAGGGTCAGGGCGGTGGGGTGGGGTGTGGGGGGGGTGCAGGGCAGAA